ACGAGTTCGATATACGTGGATACATGGTCATACCTTGGAAGACTAAAAATGAATCGAATGCAGTTATTCAGAAGACGGTCATATTTGTTAAGAAGATCTGCATTCAGATCGAAATAACACACATCGCCATAGTCGATTAGCGGAAATTTTTACGCAATAGAGAGAACGCAGGGCACCGGTGACTTTCTGGTTAACGTATAAGTGCAAGCAATAAGCGCATAAAATACTAATTTTATTTTAGCGTAATCCGATCAACGGGTATATCAGCGCATAAAATACGAACAAACAAACTTTAATTTTTATGTATTAGATAATCAATGATAATAAACCATTAGATAATCATGAGCTGGAATACGCCATTCGACTACTTTTTTTTATAAAATAGAAGTGGCAAACGAACTTACAGTCCACCTGATGGTGAGTGGTCACTGCAGGCCGTGGACACCTGCTACCAACTTTTTTATATATAGGATAGACGATCGAGCACACAGTCCACCTGATGATAAGTGGTTGCTGTGACTCATAGACATCTATGTACATTTATCCTCGATAAAGAATCATCGTCACCCGTGAGGACTAAGATGGAACGCCCCTTTTCCAGTAAAATGGGTCTTCGGTTCTCTACACTCACCATACAAAACACAGCAGTGTCAAGCTGCCATTTTACGCTGGTATTCTGTGAGAGCGTGGTCCTTCCCCGGTCGAGCCGACCCATTCGTGCTACAACTATACTACTACTTTTATAGCTGCAGCATGGCTCTACCACATGAGTAAAGAAACCGACCAGAGGGGAAGCTACATACAAACGTCTCGCTGCGGGTACACCCACACATAACGCAGCTATGTGTGCGTGAGCTCTCACCGACAGGTTCACCGACGCTCCGTCAGGGTACAAACCGGTTTGCGCCGGCTCAGTCAGTGTAAATGAAAGGGCTGTTGGTCACGCGCATTGAAATAAATAGACGAATAATATTTCGTGATTTTATAGATCAATAAATCTATTAATTTTTTTTTACAATTAGAGTTAAGTTTAGAGATTGTGTACTATAAAATAAGACATTATAGATTCATAAGTATATATTTATATTAGATAATTAGTGTTCGTATAAGCTAAATGCCTAAGTTGTACAGTATGTATGAAAAATTCGAGAGAAAATAATACAATAGCCAGACAGTGGTGCAGTTATTGTTAGTGGTAGTAGTGCTGGTGATAGTGATGGTGGACGGTGGTGCTGATCGTGCGGTGTTGGTAGCGGTGGATGGTGGTAATGTACGTGCTGAGTGTCAGTGATTGCGGTGGTGCTGGTAGTATCATTGGTGGTGGTGGTGGACAGTGGACCGCCACTGGCACCACCACCACGACCAGCATCACCACCACAACCCTTACTACCGCCACCATCATCCTGGTAGTAACATTAGTGGTGGTTTTTTTTATAGGATAAGGGTGACAAACGAGCACACAGTCCACCTGATGGTAAGTGGTTGCTGTGGCCCATAGACATCTACATCTATCCTCTATTACAAATCAATATGTAGATGCGTTGTCACCCGTGAGGACTAAGATGGAATGCCTCATTTCCAGTAAAAAGGGCCTGTGGGTGGTGGTGTATCAACACCGCCACTGCCCACTACCATCATCACAGTCATTACTAATACCATCTGATTTTTTGTACTCATGAATACGTTGTCTTACGAAAATGATATTGATAGAAATATAGATATGTATATGTAATCTGAAGCTAAGCATGAAAATAAGCAAAATATACAATTTTAGCAGTTTCAATTTTAATTGAAAATAACAGACATGTTATTATATTAACTTAAGTTACAATGAATACACATGTTGTTTTATACTATATAATATTTTTATTTTTTCCTTAAAATTTTCACTTGCATCAGGTGATAACCCTATCAGAATAGGTATAGATTTTCGACGTTGTTAGAAAGCTTACCCTCTGGTCTTCTTTACTCTGTGGCTCTACCACGTATGAACTTCAAACAAAAAAGGCTACAGATGCGTTGTCACCTCAGAGAACTAAGATTAAAAGTCTCTCTGGTATGTAAAGTTACGTTTAAGTCCCACAGCTGGGTACAGACCCATCTCAATCCTGAGGGTTATAGAGTAATTGTGTTTAATGCATTATTGCATGCATAATTCTTCGGATTAGTAGTGCGACATCACGCTTTATCATTGCCTATTCCTCCAACGATGCATATCACACAATGAGGGCATCCACGGCTTTTCTGCCACCAGAAAAAGCCTTAGCCGCTACTAGAAAGTGAAGTATAATATTTGACAGATTTCATAGCGGGGAAGTTAATTTGTTCGGAAAAAGTTATTGTTTCTTTCTGTACTATTAGCTATATTTTATATGAATAAAAATAACATTAAAAATAAATAAACAAAACCACAGATATTCATAAAAGTAGAAAAATATAAAAGTTAAAACAGTGCAAAAATTAAAGAGCAAACCACTGACGCATTGCTTTGTGTATTAATATAATACTCTAGAAACTGAGAAACTTTTATTAAAAAACAACTTCTCATTTAAATGACATTGGGTAACAAAAACTTTACTTTTTTCTTTTTTTGTATAGGATAAGGGTGACAAACGAGCACACAGTCCACCTGATGGTAAGTGGTTGCTGCGGCTCAAAGACATCTACATCTATCTTCGATTACGAATCAAAATGCAGATACGTTGTCACCCGTGAGGACTAAGATGGAATGCCTCGTTTCCAGTAAAAAGGATCTCCGGTTCTCTACACCCACCATACGAAACAGCAGCGTTAAGCTGCTATTTTACGCTGGTATTCTGCGAGAGCGTGGTCCTTCCTCGGTCGAGCCGACCCATTCGTGCTACAACCATAATATAGCTGCAACATGGCTCTACCACGTTCAAAAAGTCAGTGTCAATCCTGTCCTGTCCTCAATGTCAACTAGCGACATCTGGTGAGCAGAAAATTATTAGCCCTCATTACAATCGAACTTCACATACAAGGTAAGTTAGTTTGATTATTTATCATCCCACCGCGCACCTTTATCTCTTTCCTCAGACACGCGGGTTTCATCACGATGTTTTCCTTCACCGCACGTGATACCGGCGGGAGTCTAACCCAGGTTGCTTGTGCAATATAGTGTACGTGTATTGTAATATAATTCAAGCTATATTTAGCGATTAATTTTACCGTTTATTACCAACTCTTGCGTTAAACATAATAGCTTTGAAAGTCAACGCATATCTATAGTAGTATTAGCGTAACTGTAACTATGTGACTGCTTATCATCTGGTCCCGGGTTCGAATCATCGGATCGGTCCAAAATGAGTAATAGGGTTTCTTTGTCAAGAAATTGTTAGTAGCAGCCCGTATTCATGATATTTGCGATGTTTCATCCCTGTGATCAAAAGCCGTTGATCCTGCGACTGATCTTGTTCCGCTCGTGTCGGATTGTCGCCCCATCGGACTACGAGAGTGCACCTGTGTTTGCGTGTATACTCGGGCACTATAAGTATAATCCTGTCCTATTCAGGTGGTCCCCCCAAACAAGCTTTCGGCCGACCTAAACCGGCCTCCTTGCGGCCTCTTGGCGGCCCAGGCCGAATCTTCTCCCCGCCCTTAATTTGCCTTAGTTAGGCTCCCTTCTCAGCGGCTCTTCGCCGCCTGCGCCCCCTTTTCCCTAAAGAGGGTCGATCCGATTCGGCAGAAAGGCCACACGAGCCAATGCCAGTCTCACAGGTGGTGTTTAGTGGGTAGGCACTTAGGTTTCGCAGTGAGTCCCACATAACCACGGCAGCCGGCTGTCGTGGTATGCTTAGAGCATTCACCATCTCCCTTCCCCGCTTTCCGGAGGGTAGCCCTTTTCATTGCTTCTAGGCGCAAAAAAAAAACTCAGGAGGTGGTGGTTAAGACTTGCCGCCGTGAGGGATGTTCGGTCTGGGGGACATAATTATTAGTATTCGCGTAAACATATGGAAAAGGCAAAGAGATAATATGTTATGTAGGTACTATCACAAAATAAAAATAATTTTTCAACTTAAACTACAAAAAGATTAATCCGACTAACATTAATTCATAAATACTTTTTGCCAAGTGGAATGACCTTAAGGACATTGTTTTGCACGATAAAATTATTAAAAGTTAATCGTTATTATGTACATAAAAAAAATCTTTACAAGCTAAGTCATAAATATTCTTAAAATAAATACACCAGTAATACATTAAACCTTTTTTACACAATTTGTCTCTGTACCTTTTTATTTTATTTATCGAAAAGTATTATTTTATCGCAAAGGGTAACTTGTCATGTAAAATTACAAAGATCATATATTTTAAACGTAGAAATGAAACATTACGTTAGACGACGTCCGACCCATACTAGAAATTTCTAATGTACTGTGGAGTCATTTAGGCTACATAGCATGCTAATAGTGTACCTACGTGGTAGAGCCACACTGCAGTTACATTATGGTTGTAGAACGAATGGGGTCGAATCGACCGGGGTAGGACCACCACACCCTCACAGAATACCAGCGTAAAATAGCCTCAGTATTTCGTATGGTGAGTATAGATAACTGGAGTCCCTTATTACTGGAAACGTGTCTGGAAACGGCTCTACCACGGTTTACGTGGTAGAGCCATGCTGCAGCTATATTAATAGTATAGTTGTAGCACGAATGGGTCGGCTCGATCGGGGTAGGACCACGCTCTCACAGAATACCAGCGTAAAATAGCAGCTTAACGCTGCTGTGTTTCGTATGGTGAGTGTAGGGAAGCGGTGACCCTTTTTACTGGAAAAGAGGCATTCTATCTTAGTCCTCACGGGTGACAACGCATCTGCATTTTAATTCGCAAACGAAGATAGATGTAGATGTCTATGGGCCACAGCATCCACTTACCATCAGGTGAACCGTATGCTCGCTTGTCACACTTATTCTAAAAAAATACATATATACTCAAAAAACACGACCTTCCTATAATAGCAATAGCGAAACAATCACCTGTAGAAGCCTGACTTGGTGTCCGCGTTGTCCTTGATGCTCTTCTTGGTGTCAACCTCGCTGAGCACGACGAAGAAGTGGTGGCACTTGTCGCACTTGACGAAGCGCGTGGAGCTGACGAACGTCTCCACGTGCGTGCACGGGTCGCCGCACTTGGGGCACGTGAGCACGCCGCCGTTGCTCGACCCGGACTTCTTTCCGCCCGACTGACCTGATGGGAAAGTTTCGCTAGTAAATTCTCCAATCACTACGCTACATGGCACACTACATGCCACGCTACACGCCACATCGGAAAACGCTATAGGAAAAGCGCCAATCACTCAGGGCGTCGCAATACAAATGCGCGTGTTTGTCGTGACGTCACGCTGCACGCTTCGCCAAACGCTCCCTACCAAGTCATTTTCATTGTGTTTACGCGAATACTAATAATAATGTACTCTAGACTGAATTTCAGTCACGGCGGTCAGTCTCAACGGAAGTTAGGCATCTGCGCACGAATAGATTATAGTGCCCGAGTGTATGCACCAGCACAGGTGCACTCTCTATTCCCTCACTCTCATAGTACGATGGGACGGTAATCCGACACAACCGGAGAGAGATCAGGCGCAGGACCAACGGCTTTATGTGCTTTCTAAGGCCCTGGGGCTGAAACACAACCAACTTTGAGACTGCTACTGAAAGAATTTCATGACAGAAAAACCCACATGACTGATTTTTGGCCCGACCCGGGATTCGAACCCGGGACCAGCATGACCAGCATGACCAGCAATCGCGTTTACGATCACTAAACAAACAAAGCAGTCAAACGTTTAATACTAAATGTATGAGTTTATTTATCCGCCGAAATCGTGTTGGCATCGGGTCGGTGTCGTTATCGGCAAGTGTGAAAACACCAAATAAATGAAAACAAGTGCATAAACAATGTAAGCTGAGAGTATAACGCGCGTTTTAACACCGCCAAAATAGCAAATCCGGCGACACGTGTACACAATTAATGCCAACACCGAAATCAACCTAATTATAGACTATAGACGGCTCCGTGCCGCAGTGGCTTAGCAATCAGTTGTTGCGCGGGTTCGTAATCCGGCACGGAACAAGTATTTGTATGGCCTACAAATAATTGTTCCTGGTCTGGATGTTTGTCCTTGTTGCAATTTATGTTTGTAAACTGCCTCCACGACACAGGAGAAAATCCTAGTGTGGGGGTAACGTTTTTTAAATAAAATTATTGTATTAGTATCGATCCGGCCCGGCTTCGCGCGAGTGATTTCTGGTACTCGACGGCACCTACCGGGTCCAAGACGGCACCTACCGGGTCCAATTGTGAATCTCCCATTACACTCAAAAAAATTCATCAATATCGATCCAGCCGTTTAGGAGGGGTTCAGTGACAAACATACGTACAGAAGAATATTATATAAAGATGGAGTTTACTACGGTTAAATGTTTCCACACTCTCTCAAGCACTCCTCAGAATATTATGGTTGTTTTTTTTGGACAGGGTAAGTGACTACCGCCGCCCATGAACAACTGCAACACCAGCAGGGCTAGCATGTACAGTACAACACCCTTCGAGCATGGGCACACCGGTGGATATAATATCCACAGTAGATAAAATGGGAGACAGACTTAGATAGATTTTTGTATGAATATAACCTTCAACCCAGGTCCAATGAACTAGGAATGCCCCTTTCAAATGTCAAAAAAGTATAATTTTTTATCTTTCATTTGGCTCCATGCTACGGACGGGGGATATACATATGTTTACTCGTTATGAAATTCGAGCCATCGTAGCTCAGGATCTAAGTGCTCGCTGTAAATTTCACAGTAAGCGAGCAACCTGGATTCGAACCCCGCCGGCACCAATAAAATTGTTAATTGCAATTTTAAGTGCTGATTTACAACGTGCTCGGCGGTGAAGGAAAACATCGTGAAGAAACCTACATGTCTGAGAAATAAAATAAAAAAAATATTTCGGAGACATGTGAAGTCATTTCCTTGCCCTAAAAAAACCCTCTCAGAAGTCAGAGGAGGCCTGTGGGACAGCCCAGCTGTGGGACGTATATAGCTAACTTTAACTTTAACTTCTTCTGTAACTAATAGTAGAGTCATGCTGCAGATACTCGTATATTATGGCTGCAGCACGAATAGGCCGGCTCGACCGGGGTATGACCACACTCTCACAGAATACTAGCGTAAATAATTTAAAATTTTGTACAGCCGACTTCAATATAAGTTATTAAGAATAACTCAAAAACTATTGGTCAGACCTTGATCAAATTTATATGGGACCACATGTGAAGCACTAGGTTTCAAATAATAAAAGAATCATAGAAATCGATGCACCCAAAAAGGAGGTAACACACATAAAAAAAACATACAGTCGAATTGAGTACCGGCTCCTTTTTGAAGTCGGTAGAAAAGCACAATAATGCTGTGTTTCATATGCTGAGTTTTTTACTGGAATCGAGGCATTCTACCTTACCCCTCAGGTGTGACAAAGCATCTACATTTTGATTCTTAATCGAGGATACATGTAGATGTCTACGGGCCATGGTATCCACTTACCATCAGGTGGACTGTGTGCTTGTTTGTCACTCTTACTCTATATAAAAAAATGCTGCTACTTCATGGTGGTATTAATTATGTTTGAGCGCGGCCTATTCGTGTTACAGTCATAAGACATCCTCTACCACGTAATAACCTTACCATCGCAAATATTCCACGTAATTTAAGATGGGCATGCATTACAAAACAAGTGTAAGTAACCCATTAAGTAACACTTGGCGCCTTGCCACTGATGTTCACTCAACATACCACGCCAGGACACAAAGCATTAATTAAGATGCATTGCGTTGAGCGGGTGATGAGATTTATAGTGTATTTGCTCTCTTAAACTATCAAATATTTTACAAGTTTTAATTGGTACTATTTCAAAAATATTAAATACTTTTATACGTAGGTTTGTCACTGAACTCATTCTAAACGTGTGGATCTACTTTGACTAAAAAAATGTGTGTTTAAATGGGTCCTTGCGAAGGTTTAAAACCACAATTGGACCCGGTATGTGGCACTGTCGTCGAGCTCCAGAAATCGTTTTAGGCGGAAAATTAGCGGACAATGAAATCAGAACCACCGTATAAAGATAAAGATACAGCAACTGTAGACTTTTACAGGCTAAGTAAATAAGAAAAATAAAACAGAGCTAAATATTCACCGGCGGACATATTTAACAGAAACCAAGAAAAACACTCTTAGTAAAATGTATTTAGAACAAGAAAATTGTTATTAGAAACATATAACCCGACTGCAGTGATTTAATTAATACACAACTCAACTTGTGTAATTCTTAAACGAAGCTTTTTACATTCATTTCAGCCTATTAAAGTTCACTGCTGAACACTGCTCCCCCATAGATTGCATCACAAAGAGAACATTTGCCATTCTTGCCAAGCTTGGCAGGCTGGTTCGCAACAGCAGTTTTTTCTACTTTCTAGTTGTTGTAAGGAAGACGATGTTGCTTATCTCCTGGTTTTTGTTACCCTCTGTCACCTTTTACGATACCCACGGGTATTTGTTACATCGCGACTACCCGGTGAAAACCGAATTAATATCTGTAAATTGTACTAGAAAAATCATCTTGATTTTGAAAGACCTATTCAGTGATATGCCACTCAATATGGTACGCAATTTTTTTACGCTCCTACCGTCGTTTTGTATTTAACGTTTAACGCCATTTTATTCTCACAAAAACAACACCTAGCCTTTATACATCGCATAGTATAGACGAATCGGTAGACTTCTCGTAGATTAAATCCATCCAGCCGTTTAGATGCTTCGAGGGTTTACCGAAACCCCTTGAAGTAAACATTCCTTAGGTAATCTCACACACATACCCAGATACGCGTGAAAGACATAACCATAGATTTAACAACAATCCTTTGTTTCTGGATTTCATTTGGTTTTGTTAACTGGAAACTGTGTAAATTTTCTGTAGTAGGTACAAATTCCACTCGATTGCATAAAAATAGCATCCATCGACGTTATTTTATAAACACGGTTCCATTATAATGGCAATTGTCGTTCCAAACTCGAATGTCAACAACCTCCCGTATCAAATGATATTGTTCATTTGACACCTCTCAATTTGTACATCACGATTTTGATAAAACGACAGAAATAAATGATTTATATGATGCGTCGTTATTGTGCGATTTAAGTCGTGATAATTTTGTTTTTATAATAATAGTAAATAATAATAATAATATAATAGGAATAGAATATTCAATGTTTGAAATTTTAATTAGGTAGTTGGACCCCCTTTTTGACTAGAATTCGGTCTGAGTAGGTACTACCCTCTGACCCATTTCTGTCACTAAATAGCAGTGTTTGCAGTCTGAAGGGTGTAATTTACTCAGGGCAGTACAATAGGCTACAAGGCATTCAATCTAAAATCCTCAGAGATGACAACGTATATGAAGCCTACTTTGTTTCACGCTGCAAGTGACCATTGGACTGCAGTATCGAATTACCATCATGTGGACTGTGGGTTCATTTGTCACTTCAGTTTTATAAAAAAATATTAAATGTGTATAAAAATATTAAATAAAAATTTATTAAAAAGAAAAGGGGTCTCTTGCCCAAAATAGTTTGAGAATCCCTGTCCTACGCTATATCGTCAGGTAGGTGTCGCAAAAGGCGACAGACAGAAATCGAGACAGAAGATGGGTAGTTCCAGCGCTCACCTGTTGTTGTATCCTTGGGCGGTGCATGTGGGGTGCCGTCCTGCCCCGGCGGCTGCTCGGTGGTGGCTTTGCACAGCGCCGAACACGTGCTGAGCGGCCTCGGGCACGTGCGCCGCACAGAGCGGCACGTCTGCACACCTGCGCAACGAAGCCATCATTTATTTACTGATATTATAATATCTACTCTTTACTACATTCCCTTTTCAAAGGAATTCAAAGGGCGGGCTTGATTGTTTTCGTTTAAAAAAAACCGGCCAAGTGCGAGTCGGACTCGCGCACCGAGGGTTCCGAACAAATCCGTAGTATATAAGTTTAAAATTAATAAAAATATTTTTATTATATGATGACTAAAAAAACAGCTTTTCGCAATTTTTCCTTTATCTGTGCTATAATACGTTGCTTCGTACCAAATTTTAAGATTCTGAGTTCACGGGAAATACCCTGTAGGTTTTGATACCCTTGCGAATGTTGAAAATTTGAGGCATAAACGGTTGTATCTTTTGATTGCGTTGGCTTAGAAGTTTGAGTATTTGATATGAATTTGCAGTTTGATACCTCCACGGGTTCCTGAGAAAAAGGGTCTTGACAGACAGACAGACGGACAACTAAGTGATCCTATAAGGGTTCCGTTTTTTTTTCTTTTGAGGTACGGAATGCTAATAGTATATAGCAATGATACTAACATTACTTATATTCCCTTTAAACGCTCCTAGTGAGCTTAAATGCCTGTGTTAACAGTGGTTCACGAGTCACGACAGTAGTCGGATAGCGGATTCTAACCTACGTCATTAACTACCGACGAAAACAAAGGGCTGCTACACGTTTGTAGTGTGTGTCTGTGTATCTGTGTATGTGTGTTCTTTCTGTGGCATCATAGCTCCTGAAAGGATGAACCGATTTTGTTTTTTTGTTTACTGTGCGAAATACTGTAGTCAGTCGCTGCCTTTATAAATGCGGAAGCTGCGTAAACCGACTATAGATTTAACTGAACATCATTTCCGTCGTCGTCACCATCTAGATTCTAGACCCGTGGTAACTAAGCGCTATTGCGGTTACACATAACACGAGCAACTCGAGTTCAATGCCCGCCGGCACCATTCAATAATCGTTTATTGCAATTTTAAGTGCTCATTTACCACGTAGTCGGCCGTAAAGAAAAACATCGTAAGAAAACTATTATATAAAATTAAATATTTCAAAGACACAAAGTACGTCAGCATACATTGGGGCAGTGCGGCGGCCTAGTCCTTGGTTTTACCCTCTCAAAAATAAGAGGCCTGTGCCCAGCAGTGGGACTGTAACTTTACTTTTAATTTCCTTCCATACGGAAAAAGATCGCGTGTCACACCTAAAAAAGATTTACTTTTAAAACTATTATCAATTAAATAAGAAATATGGACAAAACCAGCATAAGTTATCTATAAATTGATATTATAAATTATGTCCAACAAATTACTATAATATTTGAAGCATTAAATGAAACACCTTGAAAACAAACACATTAATCAAAATATGTAACACAAAAACTTTCATAACTAAACACCACGCGTAATCGAACAGTAATAAATCAAAAATACAATTCGCATCACATCGAGGTCTCGAAATGAATGGCTATGGATTAAAACATCGCCATGATTGCGAACACAGTCGACCTCGTTACAAAAACTAGTTAAAGGTTTAAATTAAACTATAATCCGTTTCATGAGAGATGTCCCGCGGATATTATAAGCGAACTAAGTGAGTTTTGTCTCTACATGTAGAGTCCATTGACATAATATTTATCCTCGACTAAGAATAAAAAAAACAATATTTCGAAGACATGTGAAGTTCGCCAAAACGCATTGAGGCAGCGCGGCCAACATTTCCTTGCCCTGAAACCCTCTCAGAAGTGAGAGGAGGCTTGTGCCCAGCAGTGGGACGTATATTTTACTTTAACTTTTTTTACGTGGTAGAGCTATGCTGCAGCTATATTGTGGTTGCAGCATGAATTCGTCGGCTCGACCGGGGTAGGACCACGCAAAAAAAAAACAAAAAAAAATGCTGCTGTGTTTCGTGTGGTGAGTGTATTTACCGGAGACCCTTTTTACTGGAAACGAGGCAATCCATATTAATCCTCAGGGGTGACAACGCATCTGCATTTTGATTCTTAATTGAGGCTAAATGTAGATGTCTACGGGTCACAGCATCCACTTACCATCAGGGGGACTGTGTGCTCGTTTATCACCTTTATTCTATAAAAAAAAACTTTAAGAATCAAAATACAGATGTGTTGTCACGCCTGAGGACTAATATAAAATGCCTCGTTACCAGTAAATAGGGTCTCCGGTTCTCAACGCTCACGGCATCATGTGCGAATCGTTTTTTCCCCGGTAGAGCCGACCCATTCGTTCTACAACCATAGCATAGCCGCAGTGTGGCTCTACCACGTATTGTACACATGTAATTTTTTTTTTATTATAATTTTACTTTTATTTTCTCATTTATAAAAAACGTTACTCTCACACTAGGATTTTCTCCGGTATCGTGAAGGCAGTTTACAAACATAAATTGCACAAGGACAAACATCCAGACCCGAACACTTGTTCCGTGCGGGATTCGAACTCGCGGCCCCTAGCGCTGCAACTCATCGCTAAGCCGCTGCGCCACGGAGCCGTTACCCGTATTTTTAAAGCCGTTAGCCGTAAGTATACTTCTTAAACTATAGTTTAAACGCTAACACTTTTTGTAATAACACGGAGTGAGCAGCAGTGACCGTGAAGAAAGGTTAAATTTGTTACGTATCAAAACAGTTCATGGTTAGGCTTTTGTTTTCCTCAACATACATTTACATTTTTCACGAACACGTGCATGGCCATCGCCTCATCCTCATCGCAAGCGTGTCTATCTAGAGTAGAACTCAAGCGATCCGCCGCGACTACTCACGCTTGATTTCTGAATATCCACAACAACGCCACTTAGAACACAATAAGCCATTTTTGGAACGACGAGTTGGGCGGATGGGAGTTAGGCGACAAAAAGTGTAAGATTTTTTCGTCGCTACCCCTTGTGTCGATAGTGTATTTTATTTTAAATGACGCTTCATTTTAATAGACGCTAGTAATACATTTATTTGTATTTGTTAATCAATAATATAATACGTTTATCAATAATAAGGAACTTCGTTCCAACCGAGTATTCCAAGACACTCACGCATGTTTTTTTAATCATAAGTTGATTCAAAATCACAAAATTCATTAAAATCGATTCAGCCGTTTAGGAAGAGTACAATCACATACACACGGACAGAAGAATTATATAATATATAATAGTTTAAAAGATTTAAGCGCACAGACGGCGGGAAGCAACTTTGTTTTATACTATGTAGAGATCGACTCAAATGTACACAAACCGCTTGAAAACATCTAATATCTAATACATATAAATAAATCAAAGTGCCTCAATACATATTAAATAAATTGAAGTGTCTGTCTGTATTATCGATATAGCCCCTGGGAATTATACCTACCAAACTTTTTCTTGACTGTGTAGGTAAGTGTATTTATATGGTTGTAAAACTGTTTTCCCATACACTATAAAAGATAAAAAAAAATTCGAACAAAAGTTTTTTGGTTTGCAATTTGCTACTTTATGCCACAGATTATTACACTTTGTTATTTATCTGTAAAAAATTTGATGCGGGACAGATTTAATAAAGTGGTTTTTCGTTAGTTGAACTACTTACCCAAAGACCACTGTTATAGATCTGCAGTTTTTTTGTTAAGTACTACGTGAACGTAGTCGCTGGTAAAAGCTAGTTGCTAATAGTGCGTAGACATAATTCGATAGGAACTTCGCATTATTTTACGATTCAGTTACCTATTTTTTTTTTCCAGACACTTACAGCCCAGACGACAAGATAGCCTGGTGTTTGACATGTTGTTGGTAGGATTAAGTGTAATGAAATTGATTAACTTTTTAACGGAATAAAATAAAATTTCTCGTGTTATTTTTTCCTTACCACCTCATTTCAATACTACCGTACTGAAATGAGGTGCCTCTGACCGAAAAAATATATGGAGAATGTATGTGGAGAACACCTCCTAACTTTCGCAATGCACGCATTGCTGCCGTCGCCCGGTACACAGGATATAGAGATCTCATAATTACAGGCTACTATAGACTGTACGCGCCACTTTGCAACTACCGCCTAACGTTTGTGAGATTCGATAATTGTTATCCAATGAGAATACTGCAAGCCCTATTTCCGGGTTTCCTACCTACCGCCTTTTATGCCCAGCATCGTGTATTAAAACGGGGTTCTTACAAGGTCGCAAGTCACGCAAAAAACCGCATCGCTTATATCTCACGTCATCGCCTTCCGCCGTGGTGTAATTTAGATATGAACTATACAAGAACATAATTAAGCATATGGACATGAGTTATAACGCTATATTTCGCGATAATTTGTGTTAACACCTTAATTCTCAAACGTGTTTTTAAGCTGCAGTAGCCACTAACCATAACCCGTTTATCGTATGAATTAAAAAAAAAGTCAACCACAATAATCAATCACGACTCTGCGTGGTCGTGTTTATTCGTAGTACACGTAAGCGTGAGTATCGCGTTGTAATAGTGAAAGATGATTCACGATATTAAGTAAAGTTTTAATTAGTACACGACTGCAGCAAGAAATGTATGTAAGCATAAAGCATTAAGACTTAGATCTGGAGAGGGTTGGCCGATTTAAATCATACCGATTTATATCGTGATTTAAGGCGTCACCGCGAAAAAATGCACCTCCTTTCATTGAATAGTATAGGAGTATGACACAACTAACGAAACTGGAATTTTGATATAGGTAAATTCGTGTCTTTATCTTGAATTTGCTTGTTTAAAAACATGATTAACTTTTGACTCGATCATAATTATTTGCCAAAACACCTCTAAAAAATCACTATAGTTGAAATTACAACGAAATTACTTAATCTATATGCTTGGGAACCACTCAAATACATTCATAACATCAATATTCGTTATTTAGTTGCTCATTATTATGATTAATAAAATCAATAATTTTTTAAACATATTTTAAGATTCTAAGCGATTTCTAAGCGATCTGTATTGTCGCGGGCGCTACGCAATTTTAGACCTTATGACGG